GCTCCTATAAAATGCTAACTCAACATATGGTTAAATTTAATTTTTGCCTAACAAATGTTCTGCTAATAAATTAATTATGTATTGAGTACTTATTTGGGTTGAAACTTGAAATTGAATGAATATGGAATATGGATCCCCTTACTTCAAATTATGGAATATAGATTTAAATAAATATTTAATTAATTATTTTTATCAAATTATTGTTATGATTTATTTATATTTAATAAGATTTAATTTTAAGTTTTGAATATGTTCATATTAATTATGTTATTTTATTATTTGTAGCCCAAAATTACACAACGTATGCTATCTTAAAAATTCTATTATCTCTTCATGTCAAGTTCTATTCTTTTTCCTTGAAACTTTTCCTCTGATAAGTTTTTTGATGAAACTATTCTTGTTGAATAATAGTCGGAGTGGGAAGGGGAAGGGGAAGGGGAAGGGGAGGATAATAATCATGTCGTTTTCCATATATCTTAGAGAAAGAGATTTTAGAATACAAAATTTGATTATTTATGTTTAGATTCTAGATTTATTTTATTTTGGAAATTAAAAAAAAAGATGTATTAGCGCCATCTGCGCCAACAGAGCAAGAAAAGTGTGAACTCTGAAATGAGATTCTGTTGTATTTTTTACTGACTGACTGAACTGACTCTTTAACCAGTAGAAGGTTGACTTTATATAGACAGCCATCAGTAAAACGCAGCGTTTTATAACATTCATATTAAAGAAACGCTGCGTATTAGCCACACTTAAAGATATTACAAAAACCAAATATTAAACTAAGCTTCTCCTTGATCTGCATAAGCCGAGACTAAACCACCAAGTTCTACAGTCTTCTTCTTCTTCTTTTATCAACATCAACCCTTAATTCAAACCTCTTCAGTATTTTCATTCTTCTCAACATCACCCCTTAAACTGAACACCTTTTGATTCTCCATTCTTCTCAACATCACCCCTTAAACCAAACACCTTCTTATTCTCCATTACTTCTGTCGTTGACTTTCACTCTATATGTTGAGAGTGATGCTTTTGCTCAGTCATCGGATGTAAATCATTCAGGGATGAGACTACATTTAGCTTGCTTCTAAGTAGTTCAAACCGTGAACCAGATAGGGGCTTTGTAAGAACATCAGCAATCTGATACTCAGATGCCACATACTGTACACACAACTAGATTAGTGGCAAATGGGTGCAAATGGGGCTTTGGAAGATGAGTTCAAAGCCTTGATGAGAAATGAAACACGGTCTTTAATACCTTATAAACCGGATATGAATATAGTGGGGGTGCAAATGGGTGTTTAAGACAAAGCTGAAACCTAATGGAATCTTACAAAAATGTAAGGCTAGATTAGTGGTTAAAGGGTTCTAACAAACTCCTGGTTTGACTATTTTGATACTTTTTTTCCTGTTATCAAGCTTGCCATCATAAGGATTATTTTATCTCTTGCAGTATACAATCAATGGGATATTTAACAGATTGACATTAATAATGTCTTTCTCAACGGTGAATTGACAGAATCAGTTTTTATGAAGCAGCCTAAAGGTTTTACTAATTCAAAATTTCCGCAACATGTTTGCAAACTTAACAAAGCTCTGTATGGTTTAAAACAAACCCCAAGGCATGCTTTGACAAACTGAAGCACTGTTTGCTTGAATCAGTCACACGCTAAACTTAAAAAGAAAGTGGAAGAATAATGGGGCCAACTTCAGTCTGGGTCGGAGGAGAAAAATTAAACAGGTAATGACTGCAGACGTCATTAAATTTCTTAATACATTAATATGCTGTAATATTGTCATGTGAATATCATTTTAACTTTCTCAATAAATTTATTGTGAAACGTATTTTCTTTCTAAAGTTATACGTGTAAAATTCTATTTTATATCAATCTATAACATCTAACATTTATTTCTTTAACATTGATAATTTTATTATCATGCAACACTTAAAAAAATTAAAAAATATTTCAAATACTAAATAAATTAAACACTATAAATTAATTTTTTTTATTTCAATTAAAATTTTAATTTTTGTTAAAGTTTTATCTTGCTCCTACATTTAATTTTTGGCTACCTCCATTGGTACATATTAATAATTCAACAAGAGAATACATAATGAAATACACATAGCACAAGTCAATAAGCAAAACTCTCTCAAGGTGAGATTGGTGTTGCTATAGTTTCTCCTATAATCATTTATTTCTTAAGCAATTATCCAAAATGTGTTAAGTAAACATGTTTCAAAAGTGATTATTGAATAATCTACTTCTTCCATAATCTATTTTATCAAAAGATTTCAAAAGAAGATATTTCTAGATTTTATAATCCACAATCAGCTTTTATAAAAGTCAATTACCAAATTGTCCCAAGATTAATCATAAGTTCTAATTTTTGTATAAATAAATTTTAAAATTAGATTATAAAATAATAATAAAATATTACAAACACATAACCAAAAGACTAGCCAATAAAGTTGCCGGCCACCGTGTTGGAATATATTTTCTGACAAGTGAGATTGTATTGCCAACACCATTGGGATTGTTGGTTGATGATTTACACAATAGTGTTGACAATTCATATAAGTAACTAGGTGGTTTGCCGCAATGATTTGAGAAATTTTCATCGAAATTCTCCAATTTGTTATGGAGTAGTGCTAGTTGATTTGAGCAAACCCTTAACAGAGTAGATTACCAGCCAATGATTTAAATGATGCCAATGGTATAACCTCATATGTTGGAAAAATATTTTCAAGGGACGATGGCCAACCACCATCGATGGCAATTTTTGCATTTTTAAAATTTTAACCTTTTATTGAAGAAATTAAATTTAATGTATTTTAATCATAGTAGAAAAACTTATTTAAAAATACTTTTTTTGGTCTTTTTGTATTGGTAATATCTTATTTCCTAAAATCATAAGTAGTTTTAAAGTTAGAGAAAAACTATAATACAACCGTGTGAATCGGTACCACGCGCCACTTATAAATTGAAACTTGTTAATTTTATTTAATTAATAAAAATAGAACTAAAGTAATAAGAGTGATGCTATGGGTACCAATGGATGGGTACTAATATGTGTACTAACTAAAGTATAGTACCCGTACTATGGGTATAGTACGAGTACTATGCTTTAGTTAGTACACATATTAGTACACATCCATTAGTACCCAAAGTATTATTCAAGTAATAAACCATAAAAATAAATTATGCCAACTTGACGACAGTAGCAGACCCGAACAATTACCTGAGCAGGGGCAAGGGCAACTATATATAAAAATAATAAATAATAAATATTCATTATTCATTATATATTTTTTAATATATTTACAAACATCCTTAATGCTTTTTTTTTTTTTCTAATTTTACTTAAAGTAATATTTAATAATTTCATTATGATATAAATTTTAGATTCTTTATTACGATTTAATAATAATTTAAATTGATAATATTATTATTATAAATTACTAATGTATATACACTAAGATTAAATTTTTATCTTTAAATGTTTTTGGTCCATTTTAAAGTACAAATGTATAAAATAAGAAAACAAAATGAGGTATGACATTTAATTTTTTTAATAAATTTTGCTTTGACTACAATTATTTTATAGAGAAATATTTCTAATGATTTGTGGGGTCAAAGTAACTTAAATTAACTCACATTATTTTTTTAAAATGTAAAATATATATGCAGATTTGAAGGTGCAGTTGGGCTCAGTGGGTTTAGCCGCCCCCACTAAGCCCAATATGGGCCCGCCCCTGCTTGACGGCTTTCTAATTATTTCTCCGAAAACAAGCAGATGCAAAATACCAATTTCCAAAACCAAACAAAATTATGCGAAAGAGTTTTTGGAAAGGAGTAGTTCAGAAGAGACAGAGCTGACGGCGGAGGCAGTGGCGGCACCTATGGCTATGACAGTGAAGGTGGCAGTAGCGGTGGTGCAGTAGCAGAAACTTTGAATTTTTCTAGAGTTAACTCATAAGTATTATAAAAAAGTTACAACCACCCCAAAAAGTTTTAAGTTTTCACACGGTTAGATTTAAATTTTAAAATCATCAAGTTATGTCACATATGATATAGATTTAATTAAATGATTTCTTTACTTAATTGGATGATAATAATATTATTCTATAAGATATAGTTTATTTGATAATAGTATTATATTTCTACATTTACATTAGTCATTTGTTTAATATACTGTTGTGTGTGATTTGCCATAAAGCTCTGAGATCTAGAAGCTTGCAGAGAGATAGTTCGATCCAGAATTAGCTGACCCAAAAGCAAGCTCGACCTAGAATAAGTTCGATTCAGAGTAAGCTCGATCCAGGTGAAGCTCATCACAGCGACCAATTTAAACAGTTGTTCAACAAAATCAAAAATAAGCTTGAATCTCGGATATTTCGGAATGGATAAGATCAACACTACTGGCAATGCAATCTCAACGCTTAATCACAAAGATTTCATGATTGCAAATCAACTCTGATTGCAATCCAAACGTATCTCTCTTTCCATGAATTTGTTTTGGCATATTATACTTGTTATTGTAAACCCTTAACAGTAATAAGATAATAGGCTAAGTTTTAACTTGCCGAATCACTTTAAAATTCATTTTGTGTTCTTTATTTTACCATATTTTATATTCAATTGTTAGTTTATCTTAAATCACACACTTATCCGTTTCCTTTCTGTCAAGGTCAATTGATTCTCTCAGAATTTTCATATTAACATATACAAATAATATTATACATATCCATCTAAAATTAAACAAAACAAATTAAATAACGAAGAAATTAAAACATGAACATTCTCAACAATTTTTTTTTTTTTTGGACAAAAAAAGGGAAAATTAAGAACGTGGAAATTACAATATGGTACATACGCATGAAAGAAAAGAGAAGACCAGGCAGGCTAGCTAGAAAAGCAGTAGTAATTGAAGTCAATTAAGCTTCATGACTGAATCACTCGGAGCTGTTTAACGTTTTTTATTCTTTGGACAGCACTTTATGGAGCAGAAGGTGAATTGAAGGGAAAGGGAGGCAATGGAAAAGTAAAAGGAAACGGTGGCAATGGCATGTTAAATGGGTTGGGAGGAAATGGAAACTGAGGCAGTGGCGGTGGAAATGGAAAGTTTGGCAATGGAGGCGGCAAAGGCAAGTTTGGCAACGGAGGTAAAAATGGGATGTTGTCAGGAAGAGGAAACGACGGCAAGGCTTTCATATCTTTAAGGTTCGTCTTCTTCGCCTCCTGCTTCTTGTTGTTGTTGTTGTTATTCAAATTGAAGTTATTATTCACCATCTTTTCCGATTCATTTTCTTCTGCGAGGTTTGATTTAAGTGGGCGAGAATATGCAAATTTAAATACCAAAATCAAGGTGAACAAGATGATGATGAGATTGAGGTGGTGAGGTTGAGAAGCCATGGCTGCAGTTTATTTTTGAAGAAGAGAATTCTCTCTTGGGGAGTTTATATAGAGATCGAGAGAGAGAAACACCGAATGGTTGCATTGAATGAAGAAGAAAAATCTCATCTCCTCTTGAATCTTGATGGTCGTGCCATTGAAAGAGCAAAAATTGTAGGGTCTATTCAGATTACTAAATGCAAAGCAGGTAATATTTAGGAGAATCGAAATGAGTGCCGTTTTCAGCAGCATGCAAAACTTCATATTTATTTCCTTGTAAATTCTCTTTTTTTTTTTCTTTTTTTTTTTTAGGAAAATAATAATATGAGAAAAATTAAGGTTCCATTTGAATAGAGTTAATAGAAGAAGAGTTTAATGGAGTAGAGCTTATGAAAATATGGTTTATATGAGAAAGTGGTTAGTAGTTTAGTTAGAAAAATATAAGAGTTTTCTAGTATTAATTTACCAAAAAGAGTTTTGTTATACAAAAATAATTGAAGTCAAATTTATTAAATGTAATAAAGGTACTTTCAAATTTCCACGCTTTAAAAAAGCTCATGAAGAGTTTATGGAAGAAATTCAAATTTTGAACTTCTCCTATAAATCATAAAATAACTTATTTCAAAACATATAAATGCTTTTGAAATGCAATGAAATAACATAAAAATTTTTTAAGAGTGTTTATGTCTTAAAATAAGCTTTTTTGGCTAATAGCTAAGTTGGATTAAATTATATAAGCGTTGAAGAGTCATATTAATAAAATCAGTAAACAAATCAAATCAAAATTGCATTACACAAAAGATTAACAACAATAATCCTCCCTAGGTATAATTAAATAACAAAAATCTATTATAAATTCTAATATAACATTAATGATTCACCAACGACAGAAAAAATTATGTTATTACTGAAACGGAAGGATATTTTATTAAACCTTAGAGGCGTTGATATGATGAACCCATGCATACAAATATTGCAGGGGCATATTCTTATTCAACTTACAAAAAGCAATGACTGTGCGGTTCATATATATTAGTTTCATTTTCGAATTAAAATAAGAATTACAGTTTTTGTCCGAATAATAGAACAGAAATCCAAGTGTAAAGAAAACATGACAGATGTAGTGTGTGGATGCACCCACAATTGCAAGTGTGTAATTTTTGATAAAGAAATATGTTTCTGATAAGATCATGGCACACTTTGCCAGCAAGAAATAAATTAAATGCTGAGTTTTTATTATTATTATTATTATTTTGGAGTTACTTAATTGTGCATCTTCTACGAGAATGAGACCATTCTTGTTCACCCACACGAAATAATGCATAGACAGATATTGAGGTCTAAGAAAACTAGGGATGCAATATGTAAATTTATTAGATGAATTTCAATAAGTCCAATCTAGTAAAACCTCTCTATAGTGATACTTTACATAATAATAAACTCTACATAGCCATAAAAAAATATATTCCCAATTTATAAAAAAATACATTCCCAATTTGGGATAGTTATAAATAAGAATAAATTTCACATTATAATAAGTTATAATTTTTCTAATTCCCATCTTAAGGAAAGTTGCCTCGTAATAATTGTTTGTATATTACAAAATATATATATATATATATATATATATATGCGCTATGATATATTAAATGTTTAAGATGAAATAAAATATTTATCTAAAGTTATTTAGGACAATAATTTATATTTTAGAGTTGTTACAACATCTTTTAACTTGCGAGTACATTACTCGTTAGTATGAATATCTTCTTGTTGAAACCAAAATATTTCTAGCTTCTCAAGCATGTTTAGAGCTTCTCGGCATGAACTTTTTGTATTTCCATACTATCATCCTTATGATTATTTCCTTTCTTTTTTTGTCTAATTGAAGCAATGATTTCTTCTTCAATTAAAACTATATGACTTGTTGCTCATTTGGATGATTGAGAAAAACATTAATATTCATTTGATTAGTGTAGTGAAGTTGCTGAATCTGATCACTCAATTCTACAATGACTATTTAATTCTCCTCATCCACTTTATTTATAACTTGCAATTCATTGGGGGTCCTAATTTTACAATGTTTAAAACAATTGGCAATTGTCTATGGCTTCACATCAATTGACCATGCAACAACTACATTTATAATTTCATCAAGGACACCTATCTTTATTGATTTCAAGACATAATCTTCTACCTGTTTCAAAAGTAGGCAATTAAAGCACTAAATTGAAACCCTAATACTATTAAAACATGAATTGAAATCATAAAATTGTATTACTAAACATGAATTATGGAATGAGAACTTTTTGTAATTACATATTTATTATGTTATAACCTCCTCATAGTAATAAAATTAGTTAATCCCACTATAGAGAGGTTTTACTGTATTAATCTAATCACTCAACAAGGGCATTAATACATAATGAAAATCCACATCACACAATTCAATAGATTTTAACTTATTTTAAAATGATCAATTATATATCATTAGCTTTTCATATAATAATAATAATAATTCTCCAGTAAAGATATTATTAGGCAAATTTTGTGAGGATCATGTTTAAATATTATTGGATTTCTCTGTAAAATGTCAATTTAATTTAATAGTGAGATCTTTTATACTTTTACATGAAATTAACATTTAAATATATAAATAATTAATATTATATTTATCCAGTTAACAACGGAATTTGGATGGTCTATTAATTTAATTTTACATAATCTTTAAGGGATTTTAAGACATCACGTGGTTATATCATCTAATAGTTACAATTCATTTATATAAAATTAAAACATAGACCTAACCAACAAAGAACTCGTTACAACTATCCAAAAATATTTAAAACATAAAAGCTCTCTGGTTGAAATGCAATTGCAACTTAGTTCATTCTTCGTTCACTCTCCAGTTACAATCTAATTTTTTTATCAATCCAATGCAAAATCCTCACGAAATAGCGTTGTAATACTCAATCTATCCTCCTCACCAAAGCTTTGTTGCACGATCCTTGATCACGCTGAAAAAGCTTTGTTATTGATTTTATTATCATTTAATCCTGTAAAAATTGGATGTCATGAATAATGTGAAAAGATGGCGAGTCTTCCATATCTTCATCTTCTTTTTTGATTCATTTGGTTTCTAAGCATGAACAAGCGGGCGAGAATCTGCAACTTGAAGTGCGTATTTGAAAACCAAAATCAAGGTGAACAACAAGATGACGTTGAGCTGATGAGGTTGAAGAAAAAGAGAGACTGAATGCATGAAGAAGAGAATTCTGTTGGGGAGTTTACATTGAAAGAGAAAGAGAGAGGGAGAGAAAGGTAATATGTCTTGATTTCGTGCAATTGAAAGAGCAAAAATTGCAGGGTCAATTCAGTTTACTAAATGCAATGCCGGTAGAAGGAGGATCGAAATGATCGAGTGCCATTTTCAGCTGCATTCCCCGCAAGTCACACTAATTGGTTGACTAACAGTGTCTGGATCCTTAATTATTAGGGCATTGTAAATATTATTAGGTGTAGACGGTAAAATCTACGGTTACAGAAGGAGGACTGATCCTGTCAGGTTGAAGCCACTGATAATCCACTAAACCTACACATAAAGAAAATAAGCGTGAAGCTTACGTAAAACACCGGTGTAGTGTCTGCCATAAACACTTCGACACTTAAGTCAGTAAACAGAAAGAAGCTATTTAGTGAAGGCTAAGGGAAGGAAGGGTTCACCGAAGTCTAATCAAATAATAGAGCTACAGTGAAGGTGTTAGTTCTCAGGAGCAAGAACTTTAGGAGCTAGTAGGTGGTATTGAATAATTGATACTTAATGAGAGGCAAGACCTCTTTTTATATAATGGTCATAGGATCTTCGAATTTAGTAGGACTTTAAGTCCATAATGGCAAAGTTCTAGTAAATAGAAAGAACTCGATTTGCTTGCCTTTGTAGGAATGAAAGTCCGAATCCACATAACATATAGGATCTTGAGTGAATAAGAATAAAAACGAAATAGAAAGTAGATGTATTAGGGTTTTAGTGGGAATCTAGACCCTTAAAGGATATCATCGACCAATGGGTCTGGCCTTAGGTGGGCTAATGATGAGACTCAATCTAAATGATCCAATCTAGAGAGGCTAGATTGGTGTCATGGGTCTAGCCTGTGAAATAAACCTTGATGTAGACCCAACTTAAATTAGGCCATAGCCTTGAATCATGTAGTAAATGTTTCATGCTTGGACCTGATAAGGCTCAAGACTATTTTTGGCTCATACATGAGGCATCTTGACTAGGGAATGGCAACATCCAGTATTGCATCAATGATACAAGCGATAAGGTCCTAATAAAAAATATTTTGAATCCAAAAGAAAATCTTCAATTGCAAGTTGATAAGCTAATTCAATAAGAAATGGGAGTTAGCGCTCCATTTTGTTGGTAGCATATAACCCAATGCAATTCAATAACTTCATATTATAACTTTAGGAATATTTTTTTAGGAAAATAATAATAACCATGATGACAATTAAATTGCATTAATGTTAAGTCTTGAGAGTAATATTAATAAAACCTTTAAACAAATTAAATTGTATTGTATTATATAAAAAATAGTGAAGGCGTAGACATATATAATCAACCCAATAATATTAATTTCTCAAAATGTGAAGGTTTTGTCTAAAAAACAATCTAGGTGTAAAATCTCGTGACTAATCCCAAAATTTGAAGGTTTTGGTTAAAATGTTTTGTTTTATCAATTACACCTTTAATGAAATAATAAAGAGGCCGATTATATTTTTACATCCTAGGTATGACAAAAAAAAACAAATATCCGCACCCCAAGTTTCAAAAAATCTATCAACTTTATACCCAACATTAGTTTCCTTCCATCCAAATTGGCCTTTGGCTGAGTTTGACCATTCAAATGTCAATTTTACCCTTAGTTATCATTATTAAAATATTAAAATAAATATCAAATAATCTACAATCACTCTTCCATCTTTATCGAACAAATTCATTAATAATAAATGTCCAAATTAAG